AACCCTGACAACAGTTCCATGAATGCTTTGGGGATTGTCGACGATGACGTCACGTTATCGCTGAACCGTAGCGTGTTGGCCTTGCTAACCTGCAATGTTTCTGATGAATTTGACTATAAAGGTATTGGAGAGGCAAATGTCCTGTTGCTGCTCAAATGAAACATCAGCATAGCCAGCCTGAGGTATTGTTCGGTTTCGGTTTGTGGGGTCTCGAAATGGAGAGCACCACGCTTTTGGAGTGAACGGACACAGTTGACACGGTCGGACCAAACCAAACAACACACAACGATGATATCGTCAAGCCCAATCATTATAAGATCAATTGTGATCAAGACGCTAAACAACATTACACAATATTGCACCACACTTAACATGACAAAACAAACACAAGGTGACTTCGCCAATGCTTGACTTATCATGAAGGCCGCTGGCATGCAACCTGCAGTGTTACGCACCAGAGACCCTCCACTACAGACAACTGTTCATGCCAACCGCCACCTGCCAAAGATAACCGCTCATCTCTCGTGTGCTACTACCCAGGCATCACCGTTGGTGCTACGCATTAACCATGATAAAGATAACGGTGGTGACGCTCGCGAGCACCACACCACCTATCGCTCAATAGTTGTGAACCCGAAATGTGGCCAATGCGCGAAACACGTTAGCCACAAGATGCAAACAACTTTGCAGGAGTGATAGCACCCCTACAGGTTACAGAATAAACGCTCTCGAGTTCTGCTGACCAACTTGAGCAATGAGTTTGAGCAAGTTCCTAAAGGCACCGCTTTTCTCAGCAAGATCGCCGACTTTTCCAATGTCGGCACATTGCAGACGACCTGACCGGATGCAAAAGCTTGTGCTGACCTGGGCAGCCACATTCATGTTAATCCAGACTTGCCAGATCCACGAGAAGAGTGGCTGCTAGAAGTAGTGACAGAATTCTCGGACTGCTTTTCCGCAGCATCAGAAGTTCAATGCACTACCGTTACCAAACACCACATTCTTATCAGTGAGTCGGCGCGGCGTCTTCGCCAAGATCAATATTGTGTGTCCCCAAAGGAAAGAGAGGTGGTTAAGCGTCGATTTCAAGAAATGCTGAATTATGACGTCATTCAACCCTCGACAAGTCCGTGGGTATCACCTGTTCTCGTTGTAAAAAAAAAAAGACAATACACTACGCTTCTTTGTAGACTACAGACGGCTTAACAAAGTCGCAAAACATGGCGTTTATCCTCTGCCACAAATTGAGGATGCCTTAGATCGTCTAAGCCATGCCCTATTCTTTACATCATTAGATCTCAATTTATGGTACTGGCAAATTGAAGTTGATGAGGGAGACCGTGAGAAAACCATATTCGGGACTCCCGATGGGCTCTACGAATTTCAAGTGCTGCCTTTCAGTCTCTGCTCCGCTCTCACCACATTTCAACGCATGATGGACACTGTACTCGCTGGACTAAAGTGGCAGACGTGTCTTGTATACTTGGAAGGTATCGTTGTGTTTTCAAGCACATTCGACGAAGATCTTCCAAGGTTAAAAAGCGTTCTCACCGCCATATGAAGAGCAAACCTTGCTATCAAGCCCAAAAAGTGCTACTTTGGCTATCAGGAACTCAAATTTCTCGGTCACGTGTAAGCCTGGAGAGTGTTCGACCAAATCCGGAGAAGTTGGTTGCCGTCGTTGAGTTCCCTCGTCCTGGAGAGAAGAAGGCTGTTCAGCGATTTTTTTGTACTTTGTGCCTGCTACCAGCTTTTGTCGAAAGATTTTCGAAAATTTCAGAACCTTTTACAAGAGTAACACGGCCAGATGTGCCCTTGATATGAACGGAAAAATAAGAACAAGCCTTCGTAGAGCTACGCAATCGACTGCAGACAGCTCCAGTGCGGGCACATTTTGACGACACTGCCGACACTGAAATTCACAAAGACTCCAGCAACGTAGGAATCGGAGCCATTCTAGTTCAATGGCAAAATGGAGCAGAGCTTGTGATCGCGTGAGCCGCAGTCTCACAAAAACAGAGGCTAACTGCTCTACCACAGAAAATGTGCCTAGCAGCTGTTTGGGCCATTAGCAAGTTTTGACCCTACCTGTAAGGCCGGCCATTTCGAGCGGTCAGTGAACACTTTGTAATAATACACAGTACTAGGCTGGGGTGTCAGCCATTTTCTTTATTTCTAACCTCTTCTTCCTCCTCGTCTCCCTCCAACCCTGCCTCACGTCCACGTACACTCCCCCTCTTTGAAGACTCATCCCTCCTGGGGTGATACATGATAACGTTTCCAATGGTTGCAAACTCCAGCACACCATCATCGTTGGTGTAACCAACCCTTTCGAGAATGCCATGTTGCACTGCTATCTGCACCACGCGATAAGGTCCTATGTACACTCTGTTCGCTCTGTTGGCTTGCTAATCTACGCTTACTACCTGTCCCACGCTCCTATTTCCCCGACGTCATCCAACACTGAACAAGATTTACCGTTTCTCGGCATTGTCGATGCGGTGCAGATAGCTGAACTTCAACGCGAGGACACTGCGCTACTTCCTGTCGTCCAGTATCTTTAAGGAGCAGACAGACGTTTTTATCCCACGCCCACTCAAACATGGATTAACATCGCATTGCATGAGAAACAATGTTCTCTACAAGATAAATTTTGAGAACAGCCAGGAAACTTTTCTCGTCGCCGTTCCAAGGGCACTGCGTGAGGAAGTTTTGAAGGCTTGCCGCAACGATCCTTCTCCCGGTCACTTAGGCTTTTGCTAGGACATTAGCCTGCATATCAGAAAAGTGCTACTGGCCACAGCTGTATTCGTCTGTTCAGTGCTAGGTCCGAACCTGCCGTGACTGTCAGAGGCGTAAAGTTCCACCCGTGAAGTCTGCCAGTTTCCTCCAGCCTTTAGAACCACCTACAGCACTGTTTCAGTAATGGATCTTCTCGATCCATTCCCTACGTCATCCTCAGAAAATTAGTGGATAATCGTCGCAACCAACTATCTGACTTGCTATGCGGAAACCAAAGCTGCGCCTAGGGGAAATTCAGTTGAAGTCTCCAGATTCTTCGTCCACAACATTGTTTTGCATCATGGTGCACCTGCTGTTCTCATAACCGATCACGAAGCAGCATTTACGGCATAGTTATTGCAGCAGATCGCCAAGCTGAGGCATACCTATCACCGGAAAACAACAGCTTATCATCTCCAAACGAACGGCTTGGCGGAGTGGTTAAACAGAACACTGGCCAACATGCAATTTATGTGTGTTGATGTAGACCACAAAACGTGGGATGAAATTTCGCCATACATCACGTTTGCTTATAATACCACTGTGCAAGAGACCACAGACCTAACACTATTCGAGCTTGTTTATGGCTGTCGTGTCGCAACACCGTTAGACGCTATGCTCTAAGTAGACCAAGACACCAGCAGAAATTACAGTGTTTATGACTTCATTCAGAAAACCGAGGAAGCCTGCCAGCTTGCATGGAACTGCATTCGCACGCAGCAAGATAGTGATGCTTGCCTTTACAACCAAGGCCTAAAGAATGTTCACTATCAACCAGGTAACTATGTAAGGGTGTGGACACCTATCCCACATCGTGGGCTTTCGGAGAAACTATTGCGACGCTACTTTGGCCCTTAGGAAGTTGTACGCGGCCTCAGTGACGTGAATTACGAGGTAGTTCCCCAAAGCTCGGATACCAGTTTAAGACGACGACGTCCAAATCTCGAGGTAGTCCACGTAGTACTGATGAAACCATACCACGCCTGTGAGTTATCAACACTTCAAACTTCTTTTATTATCTACAACAGCACATTCTTTTGTTGTTGTTGGCGTGACCATCTTTCTGCATAGCCATCTCTAGCAACTTAGTCGATCGACCAAGACGGTAGCTCTTAAAAGGGGGGAATTCATGATGCAAGGCAGGCTGGCAGCTATAGTGGCCAGCCTTTTGAAGGAGGATAATGGAGTAGTTCGGTGTGTGCGTGCTCTGGTGTTTGTTTTTTGGCCTTTTGTACCGAGAGTAAACACCATTTTGTGCCCTAGTCGCTGTGTCTTTGTGACAATATCATCCTGGTTGTTTTGGCTTCTCTACAGCTCTTCGTAGAACTCCTCAGAGGACTATCCTCGGAGAACCTAATATACGCTTAATATACACTTAAATAGTTGCTTTCAGCTTAGAATCTTTTCAGTACAGTGAAACCATCTTTATAAAATGTTGCATGAAATTAATATACACTGAAATAGGTGCTTTCACAATATAGCACCCTTTCACTGCAACGAAACAACTTTTACAAGGAGTTACATGCGGATAATTACATTTATTCATTCATGTCGAATACTTCGAAACTTTGAACAATCCGAAAATGAATCAAAATGACTTCGAATATTCGCACAAGCCTAGTTTGTTGCTCTTCAAGCCCCAATGAATCCTTATCCAACTAACTCAGTCTTTTCGTTCTGTCAGAATTTTGCATTCAGTCTTTGATGTAGATGGTACTTTATCAATGATGGACATTGCAATGAAGCTACTAGTGTCAAACTATTTGGGGAACGAAATTTGTGCAATTCTTTGTCAGTTTTGATATTCAACATTTGGCATATAATGGTCACTCAAGTCGTATGGACCTTTCTGTTATATGTGTCCCACTCCTCCCAAGTGATGTCCCTTTCACTCCACCTACTGAGATGTTTTGAATGAGACAGATTTTTGCTATCATAAACTATTTCTTTCTTTACAGCTTCATCAGAAGTGGTAAAAACCAGTGCATCTTTGAAGTTTTGCTGTTCCTTTAAACAAACTTCACTTATAATCCATTAAACATAGTTGTACATTCAAGTTAAACAAAACCAAAACTTCGGAGAAACTTCGGAGAAATTGTCAAAAGTGTCCCAATTCTTCAGACTCCCCCACTGCCCACAACGGTGTAGTATGACTATTGCTGATATAGTGCTCTTTAGAAAAGTGCGTAACCCTCATTGACACCTGTTTGTGCTTGCAGATGTGCAGGCTTCGGTGGCACCCATGTCAGGAGGGGGAGGCAGTCGGAAGGAATTCGGTCGGGAACTCATTCCTGGCCTAGACTTAGGCCCGGAAGAGACGCACTCGGAGAGCCACTCGGGTGGTGGTGGCCGGCACAAACGCACGCCTTTCTCCAAGCCCATCCCTAAGCACTTCCAGCAGCAGTGGATGGAGAACAAGCAGCCCCTGCTGCTCGCACCACCGGAGGGGTCCTCACAGAAGCAAGACGGTATGCCTAAAAGTTGCTCTCTCTCTCAATCACTCTCTCGGCTTCTGATATGTAGTGAGGCCATTTGGGCAGTTGTGGCACCTACACAGTGTGGCTTCTAAGGCTCACTGTCCTGCCAATCGTAAAATCAGCCAATACATGTCGCATCTGCTTGCTGTGTCATTCATTAATAATTTTGTTAGTGTTGAACATCTCCAAACTATATTAAGATTATGTGAGACACTGTAGTGTATAACTCTAGAAATTTCGTCCATTGAGGGTTCTTGAACCTGCTCTACATGTAAGCACATGGTCCTCAAGCATTTTCACCTCTATTGAAAATGTGGCTGTCATCGCCAAGATTCAATCCTGCGGCCTGCTGGTCAGCAGTCGAGTGCCATAACCACTAAAACACTGTGATGGGCATGTATGCCCCTCATTACCTTGCTGAGAGGGCATTAAGCGATTGTCAACTGGTATAGTAAATTTTCTGCTCTGCACGGAGCAGTAATACTTTATTTACTCACGTAGTTTGCACCCTCACATAATTTGTGCATCCCTAATATTTTGCCAGCTTTACGAAAAAAAAATTTACTCGCATGTTTTACGCTCCCCGACCCGCCTGAGCCGGCTCACTGGCACGCCCACGGAGAGACTTCGGACCTTTGGATGCCTTGAATGGGCGCACCGGGCGCGCGCCTCGCCGAGCAGGCGAGTGCAATCAAATGGGCTGCGAGTTGCGAGTGCGAAACTCCTTCTTTTGAAGACTTCCCCCGAACTAGGTTTCTTAAAACACTGTACCCGCCGGAACTGCTCGAGCGTTTTTGTTCGCTCCTCCTATCTCTACGATCTCTACCATGAGAACGTATGCGCGCGTCACGGCACAGACAACTTTCTGCATCAGAGGCGCGCAAGCGCCTTTTCCACGAACTATTCCTCTTGTTCACTGCGTCTATACTGCAATGCACGCTTGGTTGATTTCAGAAGTTTAGGTTTCGCCATCTGTCCATCGCGTTTTTACTGTTATCTCTATCGGCCTAAGGTAATTATATGCATACGACGAAATTCAAACTTGCTGCTGTAAAGTTTGCCGAAGAAAACTGGAATTGTGACGCTGCCAAGCATCTCATCGTGAACTTCAATGTGTGACGATTGATGGCATCAATACGGAAGAAAGCAGAGTGTGCGCTTGCTAATACAACATTTTCTGCCATTGAAGAAGGCTTTTTCAGTTATGTGATGTGCGAACGCTTGGATTCTTCGGTATCACCGAGTTGTGAGACCTAGTTTCTCCAGGCATTGTTGACAGGAGCTTCAAAAAAATGCGGCTTTCAAATGCGCTCGACAAAACCAAGGACAATGCTCTTTGGGATGGCAGTGAGAGTGGCCGCAACAATGATTCTTAATCGGAACTTTCGATCAGTGATTCCGACTAGACTATGTGCATGAATTCGGTTTAATTCACTTTGTTTGTGCTTCAATTTTATACTGCGCACATTAGGACTATTGCAGATTATGTCGTGTGTGTTCGCAAAATGTCCGCGTAATTTGCACTCCCCCTTTTTGAAGCCCCAAAATTGCAAGAAAAAAAGTGCGCAAATCATGCGAGCAAATATGGTATCTGGCTCACATATTTTCAGGAACCCCACGCACAGAGCAGTGCTTGACGTGTCTATTTTCTAGCATGGGTCCTTTCTGCAGTTTTTTTATCATGCAGAACTAGCTTAACTATCGTACATTACTTTGCCAGCATTTTCTGATTGTTAAAAAAATCACGGCCATATCTAAAAGTGAATAATGTTGGACGGGCTTGCTTAGAGGTGCACAGGGTGTTTCTTGGCGAGATCATTTCTGCAGGAAGGCGCATGGTGCGTACATCAAAGGCAGCGTTGTTTGGTACGTTTCACTGCTGGCACTGCATATTGTTATCCATATCGATTGGCGCATTACCCACCTGCCTCTTTACGCCAAACTGGCCGCTGCCATGAGTCAAATGCATTATGTTCATGAATGGAAGGCATGGAGACATGAATACATGTACGCTGTTCAACCCCTATTAGTGTTTTCGTACTCTACAACAAATTTTGAGGGACCTTTCTTACGACAGAGGCTATCAAAGCTACTGGATATCTACTATTTTCGAGCTTCATCACTTGTTGCTTTATACTATGACTGTCTCTGACCTTGTGGTCACAATATCTACTGTCTGCCTGTGTTAAGCTTGGTTGAAGCTATGGCCCTTTTAGCAATTAGCTTACCTGAGTCGTAGGGAAGCAGGAACTCAGTACTCCTGGTTTTAAATTCCCAGCAAGTATGGGATGCTTGGAAGGTTAGCTTTCAGTCTAAAAACTGCAAGCTGTCATTACATAGCATCTTAAGTTAAATCGAGCCTTTGCTGTGCCTGTCTGAACAATTTCACGCTCTTTTCGTTTACTTGCTTCACGAAATACCCATACAAGAGAAAAAATCAGGGAATTGTCCACGTAATAGAAACTCTTCAAATTCCTCAAACTTGTCATTTTTTTCAGTCCCTCTTGGTGGTGTTTTGGAACAGAACAGAAACCGAAAGCGAAAAAAAATGATATTTTTGACCAGGACAAGGACGTAACCGAGACGTGATCTAATATCTTATCCTGAAGGCATTTTTAATGGTTTTGGGTTGATGCAGAAACTTGGCAACCTGAAATAACCGAGGTCATGCAACGTCGGCAATAATGCCCATCTCAGAGTACAGTACTAACGTGTATCTCATACATTTTTTAAGTAAAACATAGTTGAAATTGTGTGGAAAACGGAAACAGTGGCAGTCAGTGATTATATTCAGACAAGTGGACTTTCGTGCATGTGGGACCACAGGCCAGCATGGGGAAGGTATTTTCAGCATGTTAAAGAGGTACTGACACAAAATTTTGGGGCCGAAATAGCCTGCGGGTGACATTACATTCCAGCACCGTTCCAGCTGGGTGACTGCAGCGCCACGGCCAGCCATGGTTGGAACTAATAAGAGTAACCTCGCACTAGGTGCTTTTCTCATGAGCGCGCGCGGCCTAGGTACCAAATTGCATAAACATGCCTTGGCTCTTTAGTTCCTAGCGGTGTGCCCGCGCTGGCTGGAGCGGTGTGGGTATGTAAAAGCATCGCTGGCTGTGTTATGTGTGTGTCAGCGCTTCCTCTATTTCGGTGTTATGCGGCGGTTCGTATTATTGCGATATTATTCCTTGCGAATATGGTGACGCGTGAGTGCTGACTGTTCTGTCTGGATGTGAGTTCTGAATGCTCGGTGCGCTCTGAAGCACTTTAGTGAGTGCTGTCACACGGGTACTTGCTGCATGTGGTTGCGCTGCACTGTGTTTGATCTGGATTAGTTTAGACAGTGTAGCGGTGACTAATACCGGTTTTCCTCGAGAACTTTTGATCGCGCGCAACAATTTTGTCGCTGCTGCGCTGTACAGCATTGAGTTTGGTGCAGATGATCTGACGGCGATCACAAATGTCTGTGTGACACCAATGGTATGAACATCGCATTACTTCCACTACTCGCACAGGTAGTCCAAGTAACATAGAGAAAAAAAGCTGTCACTGCGATATCCCCTGTTGGTGATCACACGTGAATGCTTACACCAAGTTAAACCGTTCAGTTCTGTACACTTTTGTGGCCTCTACTTCTTTGTCTGCTGCTTACAGAACAATGCAAGAAAAAAAAACAATCTACTAATTACATCAAAATTACGCATAAACGGTGCATCATACTTACCGTAGGCAAGTCTCTAGAAAAGATCAAACGTCTGCAAAGAAGCCCATGTACATATCCAGTCTTGCAAACAAGCTTATTGCTCACGCTTTTGGCAAATCTTGTTGTTAGGGCTCTGCTGACATGAGCCGCAGTGGACCACCGCATTATATATATATATTGTATTGTTGATTATTTTTCACGTTCCGGTCTGGGACAAGGAAACGAGGAAGAAGAAGAGCGCGAGCGAAAGGAGGGACGCGGGGACGCTCAAGGGACAGCAGAGCACTTCTGAGCGCAGTTAAATAAACAAGTTTTCTTTTGCCTTATACCTTAAAGAAGGAGTTGAGTCTGATCACAGTGTCCGGAACGCCATCGTCTTAATATTTTTGGTGCCGAAGAACCGGGATTGAAAACCATGACCCTACGGACGGCTACCAGTTAACTGCAGCGGCATGGACCGACTGAAGTCGAAGCGGACGTCACGGCGAGCACAGAACACGAGGATTATAAACGAGGCAAGTGCTCTCCTTGCTAACGACTCTGCCTCCTATGACTAGCTCAATTCCATATATGAGAGGCTGAATGCTAATAACGAAGAGCTTAAAAGCTTGAACAACGAGATTGAGCAGTATATACCTGACGAGGAGTTCAAAGTCGAGTATAACGCGGTCTTATAATACGAGGACAGTGCTTCACGCATTCTCGCAGAGATTCTCAGCAAGAAAGATCGCATGTTAAGGACATTGACCAGAACTCAAGAAACAGTTGCCCAGACAGTCGCAGCACCATCAAACGAAACTGGAGTTAAATTGCCTAAACTGACAATAGCTCCTTTCTTTGGGGACCTATGCAAGTGGACCGAATTTTGGGAACAATTTGACCAAATTGTTCAAAGTAACACTCGTATCACTGCCACAGGGAAGTTTCATTACATGCGACTGTATCTGAAAGGAGACGCTGCATCAGTAATTGCGGGCCTTTTAATGACAGAAAGTTGCTGCAGCGACGCCATCAACATGCTACAGAAGCAATTTGGGGACAAGACATGTCTGGAGCAAGAATATTTTGCCAAGCTACGGATGTTAAGCCCTGTCCGTTCATCTACTGACACCAAAGCGCTACGCAGCTTGTACGACCAAGATCTCGTTAATATCCGAGGCATAGGGACTTTGGGTGTGCACAAGTCGTCATTTTCGTCAATGCTCTGCGACATCCTACTGCGTGCTCTTCCACGGGATATAGTCGTGAAGTATCATCGATCGTGTGTCGTCCAGTTGGCATATGACTC